TTTAGAGTTGGCGAAAGTTACAAGTTTCCAGGTAAAGTTGGTTGGAAATTACGAATTTTTTTACGCGGCGAGGGCACTTTAGTAGAAATGTTCAAGTTTAGTCCAAGATTCACCAAGTCGGTAAAAATCCGGCGTTAATGGAATTTAAGCGAAACTTTAAACATTTGCAGCTTGAAGTGTTCTTTCGAGCTAGTAAAAGTTTGAAGTTTCCACTTGCAGTTGCAGGAAAGTTACGAATTTTTTAAGCTGCGAAGGCATTTGATTTCAAATGTTCAATTTTAGTGCAAGATTTACCAAGTGGGTAAAACTCCGGAGTAGGTGGAATTTAAGCGAAACTTTAAGCATTTGCGGCTTCAAGTGTTCTCTCGAGGTAGTGAAAGTTTCAAGTTTCCACTTCAGCTAGATTGAAAGTTACAAATTTTTTAAGCTGCGAGGATATTTGAGTGAAAACGTTAATTTTCGGTTCAAAATTCAAAAAGCCGCCAAAAATCGGAAGTTAGTGGAATTTTAGCGAAATTTTCAGCATTTGAAGACTGGAGCATTCTTTAGAGGTGGCGAAAGTTACAAGTTGGTTGGAAGTTGCAAATTTTTTCACGCGGCGAGGGCACTTTAGTAGAAATGTTCAATTTTAGTCCAAGATTCACCAAGTCGGTAAAAATCCGGCGTAGATCGAATTTAAGTGAAAATTTCGACGTTTGCAGTTTGAAGTGTTCCTTCAAGCTAGTGAAAGTTTGAAGTTTCCACTTGCAGGTGGAGGAAAGTTACGAATTTTTTAACCTGCGAAGGCATTTGATTTCAAATGTTCAATTTTAGTGCAAGATTCACCAAGTGGGTAAAACTCCGGAGTAGGCGGAATTTAAGCGAAACTTTCAGAGCTTGTCTTCTAGAGACTGTGCAAGTTTCAAGTTTCCATTTGCTCCCGTTTGGAAGTTCGGAATTTTTCAAGCAGACTGGCGTGAAAACGTGAATTTTACCTGGAGTTCATTTGAGCCACGGCGAATCCATTGAACCGCTCCCCATTCAGATCATTGCTGACGTTGTACCCGATTTGTTCGCCAGCCTTGAGAACATCCCAGGCGAACGGTGGCTGGTACCGGTACCGCCCAATGGTGAGCGGCCCTCCAAACCCATGGTACTCCTCGTCCACCAGGTCCCGATCGCTGTTGTCCTCCGTCGCCTTAAAGTCGGCCAATATCTGCAAGCGGCTGTGACAAACAGGTCTGGGGTTCGCAGGTGGGTGGTACCTTGTCGAAGCTCCAATCGGGGTTGCCAGCCTCGGCCCACCTCTGGTAGTCCTTGCGGGTGCCCCTCAGAAACATCATCCCATTGATCACGCTGGTGCCGCCCAGCACTTTGCCCCTGGGCCACGAGCATCTTCGCTCGGCAAAGCCCTGGCACGCCACTGGTTCCGGTTCCGTCCTAAATTGCCAGTCGATGTCCGAGTTGAGGTAGCTGAATGAGAAGGATGGCACCTGGAGGCAACTCGGGACGTTCAGCAGATGGTTCTGGGGAGGTTTGGTTCCATACTAGTACCTGGGTTCCGACGGGTTCGTCGCCCCCAGCTTCCAGCAGCAGGATTTTCCAGTGGTCGACTTCGGCCAAGCGTCCGGCCACTGTGGAGCCGCCCGTTCCAGACCCGATCACCACAAAGTCGTACTCCAGATCTGAAAGGTTCATTTTGCCTCAAACTGGCTGGAATCTGGACGCGGACGTACCGGGATGGATTGTCGGGGTGATGCGGCCAGTGGCGTCCGTAACCTCGCAGGTGTTGCGCAGGAGCGCGTCCAGCAGGGACATGAACAGGACGTAGGCGCCCCCCGAACATGATTGGCCCAAAGAAGGGCCGTAGACGTCGAATTGGGCACCGCACTGCTCGGAAAACATGTCGCTAATGATCAGGCCTGATGGTGGATGTTTGGGTTTTATATTTTTCGTTTGGGCGCCGATAAGGCCGTTAGATTTTGCGTCGCAGTTGTTCTTTCCGTGTAGTTATGCTAATGGGAGGTAGTTGGCAATGCATGGCTGGTGGGAACGTGGCGATAGCGCCGGTAAGTTTGCCTTTTGCGACTGTCTAGATTAGATGGTTTATTCATGAGCTGATAACTGGCTCAGTTCAGCTCACATTAGTCAAATAGTTGGCTGCCACGTGCATATTCATCACTCATCTGCTTCCGCATGATGCAATCCAGTTTGCCTCTTTGGGTGCCTTGATGTGGAAACGTGGGTAAAGTGGGTTGAACCGTCGTGGAACCATAAATTCTAACTAGGAAACATTCAGGAACGGGCTTCATTGGGTTAAAACGCACTCCTCCCTTTGCTGCTCATCGCTAGTCAAAAGTCCCGATGGTTTAGGTCTGGTGATCGAGGTGGCCTGTTTCTGCTCCACCTCGTCCAATTGATCGTTTTTCATTCATTTCATGTAATAGTCGAGTGAGTGAACGCGAGCGTCTTCATCGATTTTTGATCTCATTGGCAAATCCTCACCGGATTGTCACTCTTAAGCCGGTTTCCTCCAAAGAGGATCGGCCGTGAATGCATTTGAATATGATTAGTCACTTGCCCCTGTTACTGAGAACTAGTTTCGAACGAGTTGGGGCTGAAAGTGTCCGACTTTTCAATTGAAATCAGGCCGCTTTAGGGCCGATTAGCAGCTATTGAGGCACGTTGCATGTGGAGGACAGACGTCCGGGAACTTTAGGAATTTGCAACATATCACACCACATGGCTGATTTATTGGCTGCTAATGTATGTAGGTGTCTGAAGAAATGCAGCGATTAATGCAAATTGCTGATTGTTATGCGCTTGTTGGAATAGCGGCTGCATTCATTCGTGAACAGTTGAATAAAATTACCGAGTTTGGAAGATCAGATTTATTTGGAGAACTGGCAGTGCTGCCCGATTTACTAACTCAAAGCTTCTGAGTGCTTTTTATGGGTGCGTTGAGGATAGTTAGCGTGCCTGAGGAAACGTCCTGAGAGGGTGGCAGGTTTCCTGTTAAAGTTACAGGCATTATAAGCATTTAAAAATTGCGTTGGGTGCCATTTGACCGAAAAGGTCCAGGATTTTTTAAGTTCGGATGTGTTTTATAACTGGGAAAGTTCAAGTTGCTACTTGCGCGTGATAGGAAGTTATGCATTTTTTAAGCAGGATCTTTTTTATTTTTGAAAATCGGGATTTGCTGCGATTTGACTGAAATATCGGGTTTTTTAGACTTGAGTGTCTTCTAAGTATTGTGAAAATTTCAAATTTATATTTGCGCTAACTTGGAAGTTGGGATTTTCTGAAGCAAAGAGTGCTTTTGTGCAAAAACGCTTGTTCTTATTGAAAGTTTTCCCAGTCGGCAAAAATCAAAGATGCGAGCAATTCGGACGAAATGTGCCTGATTTTCAGGTTCAACTGTCTTCTATGGGCTGTGAAAGTTTCAAGTGTCTACTTGATCTAGATTTGAAGTTGGAAATTTTTGAAGCAAAGAGAGTTTTTGGTCGAAAACGTCCATTTTTATGGCAATTTTTCCAAGTTAGCAAAAATTAGAGATTGAGACGATTTGGGCCTAATTTTCAGGACTTTGAGATTCAACTGTTTCCCATAGACTGCAAAAGTTTGAAGTCGCCACTTGGTTTAGATTTCAAGTTACGATTTTTTCAAGAAAATAGTGCATTTGTGCAAAAACGCTCGTTTACCAAGCTTTTACCAAGTCAGCAAAAATCAGGGGTTGAGGCGATTTGAGCATAATTTTCACGGTTTTTAGGTTCAACTGTCTTCCATAGACTGTGAAAGTTTAAAGTATCTGCTTCCTCTAGATTGAAAGTTTGGAATTTTTAAAGCAAAGGGTGCTTTTCGTCAAAAACGTCCATTTTTATTGCATTTTTTCCAAGTTGGCAAAAATCAGAGTTTGATACGATTTCAGCGTAATTTTCATGATTCTTAGGCTCAACTGTCTTCCATAGACTGTGAAAGTTTCAAGTATCTGCTTGCTCTAGATTGAAAGTTCGGAATTTTTAAAGCAAAGGGTGCTTTTCGTCGAAAACGT